GCTAAGCATTGGTGTCTTTTTGTTTATAGAAGGCCCTCTCTGTTGGTTCCCGCATCTTTTATATTTTTTTCTAATACTACACTAAACAGTACTGGAGATAGTGGACCCCCCTGTCTTAATCAGTCCCTGGCATTTTCCGTTGTTTTCTTGTTTATTTTGACTTCATTTTCTCTCTCTTGGAGTGTTAATTTTATTATCTTGGTCAGTTTCTTGCTCACCCCTAATTTCTGTTAATGCTCTAAATACCTCGGTCCTTTTAACTTTGTCATAATATGCCTGCTTACTGTAGAGTGTATAAGTTAAATTTTGTGCGACATGACCATACTTTTGCGTATCAAATATACAGGGTGCTACAAATTCGAGGTACGAGCATTGGTATCTCGAAAACCGTAATAGATACGAAGATGGTTCAATTGGGGCAAAGTTGTTTCTTGGGATGTTCACCAAGATGCCATCAAAAAAGTTTTAAAAATTTCAAAGATTGCTGAGTTTTTTGGAAAAAACGGATTTTTTTGAAAATCAATTTTAATTTTACTTTTTAGAAAATTAAAAAACTAATTGCACATTATTATAGCCACTTTATTAGGTCTATCTGACAGTATTTTTAGATTTTCAAATTAGCTGATAATTTGTGAGATACAGAGACCAACTTAACTTTTTTAAATACGGACCTGCATTTTTTATTTCAGATTTTAAAAGAACTCTGTCTCCTGAGTACAAAGATATGCTACATTTGATATTTTTCTTTGTTTTGGGTACCTTAACAATAACAAAATCTATTTAATTATCATTAAAATTATTTAAAGTCCGACTCTGTTTTTTTAAATTACTTAATTTGATTATATTCATCGTAACAATATTGATCAGCGCTAATTAGCATTGAATAAGGAAAATCAAGTCAGCAATTTAAACATATTATTTTTAACTTTTTTTTATTGGAAATTTGCAATTTAGTGCGCGATCTAATAATATGCATAATATTAATCGTAGTTATTATAAATAAATCAACTTCTACAAAACTAGTTTCTAATGATCTACATGTTTGAAAGTTACCACCCTAATGCACAAATTTTTTTTTCGTTCAATCTTATTTATAGCTCTTTGAACATATCTTCTTCTTATACTTCCGAATGCATTTTGTACTCTTTACTGTGCCCTTTATTGTAAATATTGAAATGTATTGATTTAACTTTTACAAATGACGTTAATAACCCCCCCCCCTCACCGCCCCTTGGCGACAGGAACCTCGCTGGCCATTATACTGCTCTACCATTACAAAATATTATCAGATAGCCCAAATAAAGTGGCTACGACAATGTGCAATTAGTTTTTTGATTTTCTAAAGAGTAACGACAGGATTACAGTTGAGGGTTGGAACCTTTGATGTTACACAGCAAAATAAAAACACTAAATCACCACAATACACCAAAACACTTTTACTTTTACACTGGACGCGCGTTCCGCTAACCATGTTAGCATCATCAGCAGATGATTATAAACTAAAGTGATGATTATAAAGTAAAGTGCTGAGTTTATAATCATCTGCTGATGATGCTAACATGGTTAGCGAAACGCGCGTCCAGTGTAAACGACAGGAAAAAATAAAGTTGATTTTCAATAAAATCTGTTTTTTCAAAAAAAACTCTGCAATCCTTGAAATTTTTAAAACTTTTTTGATGGTATCTTTGTGAACATTCTAAAGCGTAACTTTGACCCAATTTAACCATGTTCGTAACTATTACGGTTACCGAGATACCAATGCTCGCACCTCGAATTTGTAGCACCCTATATATCTTCTTATACACCAGTTTTTAATGCTGACATTGTTTTTCAGCTGCATGCCCATCCAAATAACTCATCTAGATGTAAACTCAAGCCCCCAAAAACTCTCAAAAATTGAAACGTTACGTTTAGCCAGAAACTACATTTCGGCCATGTCACAAACCCTCCAAGAAGGTCGACCTATGGACATAAGAAGATTTATACAGATATTGACTCGGGAGCTGAGTCAAGCTACAGCAAACTTACTTACCGGAACACTAATGGGAACTGTCAATAATTTCAGCAATTTTAATAATTTTTATAACGCCTACAACGATTACAGTCGAAAGCAGGCGAGTGTTTATGAAAATGCTAGTAATTTTAGTGCTAATCGTTATTATAATTCGAGGTGTAGTTATGAAAATAATAGTCATAGACAGTATTACTGTTCAAGTAATTTTAATAATAAGATTAGTAACTACGACCCTTTCGTATATAACCAACAAAAATGTTGTATAAATTCACATCAAAGTTCAATGAATAATAATTACTTTTGTAATAGTTATTAGTCATTATCGTTAGAATTAAATATGGTTAGTGCAATAAAATTCGTTAAACTAAAATAAAAGTATTTTTTTACTTAACCTTAAACTTACTACGTTACCGGACTCAGAGTCCGCAGATATTTTATTTGTTATTTTCTAGAAACCATCCAAGATAGCTTAGTAGCCGTAAAAAACTCATCGCAACTTTATTTTGAACGGAAAAGCGGTAGTTGTGGCCCTTTATGTCCCTTAAGTGCTGTTAAAAAGGTGAGTTTTGTTGATGCAAATAATAACTGTTTATATATTTATAATTAATTTATATTTGTTTCCAAAAACATTTTGATTAAAGGAAAATATGTAAAAGTGGGCAACGCTGTGCCGTCAAGTTTAATCACGTGACTAAAAGTTTATTTGATATGAACTATAGCTTTCATTACTAATAAATTAATTTTTAATCATTAATAATAAAATAGCTGTAAATATAAAAGAGATATTTATCGCACATATATATATATAAGAGATTTATCGCACATTTGAAAAAAATAATTATTATATACATTTCTAAATGAACCATGCATTTTCTGCCTGCCTCTTGCGAGTTTTTTTTTCGGATTATTTGGCTACGCGCTGACATGCAATTTTTGGTCGGCCGACTATATAGTTGCAAACGTGAAGACAATGTAGAGATCTTATGGAGACGATTGGCCATCTAGGCTATGCGTTGACAGGTAATTTTTAGTCGGCTGACTAGTGAGCAGATTTGTAACCAATATATTCTTAAGGAGCCGCGCTCACATGCAATCAAATAGTTGGCCGATAGGTTTCACAATAATGTATGGTTTTCACTTTTTTGCAACTAAATAGACGGCCGACTAAAAATTGCAAGTCAGCGCGTAGACCTAACCTTTAAATTTTCCTTTATAGTATCCTAACTATTCCACAATTACGTAAAACTATACAGAAAAATTTATCATAAGACTATAAGAGCCGCTAAGGACCTTTATATTCTCCTTTATAGGAGAATAGTCAATTCTGGTAATGTTGCTAAAGAAACATGGTCTATTGTAAATGAATTGAGAAATTTTGAAACAAAGCTTCTTCGTCTAGCAATATCTCTACCTCACCTGAGAACCTTAACGATTACTTTGTAAATGTAGCGAAAAACTTAACTAATACCATATGTCCTCCTCATGATCCACTTTCTTATCTCTCTAATGATAATGTAAACTTACACAGTTTCTTTTTTTCGCCCGTAGTTTTAGAAGAGCTTCGCAGTACAATTAATACCATCAAAAATAAATCCTCTTCTGGGACCGACGCGACGGGCTAACTTTAACAATGTTTTCGAATCTGCCAGAAAGCACTCTGAATCACCTAATAACTTTAATAAACATGTCGTTCCAAAATGGTATTTTTCCAAAATGTCTTAAGACGGCAATAATCATTCCTCTGCATAAAGGAGGAGACAAAAATGAAGCTTCTAACTATCGCCCAATTGCACTCCTTCCAAGGCTATCTAAGATCATAGAAAGGTTGGTTAAAAGAAGGCTGGTATCTTTTCTGTTTAAGTACAAAATACTTACTGAATATCAATTTGGGTTTCTAAGCAACAAGTCCACAAATGACGCTATGTTTTCCCTCCTTAATAAAGTTTACTCCAGCCTAAACAACCATCATTCTACAGCAACAATTTTCTGTGATTTTTCTAAGGCGTTCGATTGTGTAAATCATAAGATCCTAATTAATAAACTGCAGCACTATGGGTTCAGGGGATCATCTCTCGAATGGTTTACGTCGTATCTGAGCAACAGAAGTCAACTTGTGAGGGTGGATACCACGTTGTCTTCTAGCAAGCCAATAGAATGTGGAGCGACATTGCTAACATAAACATCAGTGGCAAAATATGTCTTTTTGCGGACGACACTAGCTTCACTTGGAGCAACAAGGACATCACGGCACTTCATAGGATTATATCAAATGACTTAATCACCATTAAATCTTGGTGCGATTCGAACCTCCTGAGTCTCAACATTTCTAAAACTAAAGCTTTGTCGTATAAAAACTCGTTGCAGCCTTTTGTACTTAACAACACCACCATTGACGTCGTAAAATCTGTAAAATTCTTAGGGCTTGTTGTGGACAATTCTCTGAAATGAGACATACATATCGAAGCTTTGTCGAAAAAATTGAGCTCTGCCTGTTTTGCATTAAGGTCTGTTTCTAAGGAGCTTAAGTTGTCAGTGGCTAGAACTTTTTATTATGCACTTTTTGAGTCGCACCTCAGGTATGCCCTTCCATTCTGGGGTACGTGCTGTGCGACTCAATTTGACCGCATTTTCAAGCTCCAGAAGAGAGCTGTTCGATATTCACTTGGACTAAACAGCAGAACTCATTGCCGGGACTTTTTTAAAGAATTAAAAATATTGACTCTTCCTTCCTTATTTATATTTGAATCCGTTTGCCTAATACGTAAACATGTATCAGCTTCTCAAGAAAGGCCATTTCACACCTATCCACTCAGGAACGCGGAGCAAGATCTTTATCTACCTACCCCAAGCTCTGAGTTAGTTAAAAGTTCAATATTATACAACTCGAAAAAAATGCACATCACCTGCCATTTGAAATCAAATCCATAAAATCATTTTTTTCATTTCGCAAAGCATTGAACTCTTATTTACTAGACAAGGCTTTCTACGCCGTAAATGAATTATATTTTGAAAATCGAATTTGATCTTGTAAACACTGGTCTAATGTTTGCTATTGCTATATTTACTAATGACATCGAAATGAATTTATTTAGAGGTCCTTGATATTTTACTATAAACTAGCTAAATATTTTTGAATATTATTTTTATTTTTTTGTTCTTTGACATTGTAAACATTTATAAATGTTTATTTTAACAATAAGACTGACTATATTATTTGTATAATGATTTGTATTATCATTTGTTTGTTTGTTTGTGTACCTTGTTTTTTTACTTTGTTTGTTAGTTTACCTTTGTGTACAAATTGAAAATTTTTTTGACAATAAAGGCATTTATTTATTTATTTATATTTATTTATTAAAAGTAATTCAGATAATTCAAGGTGTCTTATTTTTCAATATTGGTACCTATATATTTTTTTTAAAATATGCGATAATTGTTTTGAGTTGTTTATTTTGTCAATTTAATTATTTATTAAGTCATCACTCTTGTAATTTGCTTCTCTTGTCTGGTTCAAAAGAAGATGTCTTGCAATACCTCTATACCTCTGGATTTAAATATTTATGAGATGGTTTTAATTAATTTCAATGTCTAAACAGAAAAGCTTCACTTAATAAAATAAAATTAACCTAAATGCCTCATTTACTGGCTAAATCGGTCGGTTACTACTTTGACTTAAATATTCATTCTCAAATTTGCATAAAAATCAAAATGTAATAAAATAATTAACGGAATGTTGTTATATTTCCCTTGTATACACATTGTATCCAATTTTGGTTGCAATTGAGGGTTTTCTTAAATAGTAAAGATAGACCATAGTCATGATTTCTCTACTTAATATAGATAATACAGGATGATTTTGAAAATATTGCAATTTCAAACACCACGCGTATATCCGTTGTCTGAAGACAAGTGAAGGAGAAAACAATCTGCCACAGTACACTTAATTTTATTAAGTCCAATTAAAATATTAAAATGAATTCCAACAGTCGCAGTATCTTAATAATAAATTGCAAAGTGTTTATACATTATTATCTGCTAATTAATTTAATCTTTTTGCGTGATATTGTTACACGCTATCGATGTTTAGTCATGCCGTTATCCTATTATAATAATTTGAATTGGGATAACCATATGGATTATATAATAGACGTATGTTCGGATATTTGCATAAGATAATATTCAAAATATAAATATGGTGTGTTAAACAAGATATGGCATTAAACAAATATGCCACATATATTTTTCTATAAAAATATCTCTGTATTATGTATTAGTAATAAATATAATATCTTATTAATAATACATAAATTAAAGATGCCACAGTGGCCTGTGAAATAACAAGCGATAATACTTAGTTTTTTCTTCGGATATAGTATATAGAAAAATATTATATGGAGTATTAACTTAACGTGTAATTCAATGAAATTCATCTCATCCTTAAATATTATAATGAAGTGGATGGAAAAGTCAATATGTTTTAAATAAAATTATTAATTGTACATACATATAATACTTTGTGGAGCATTTGAGCTAGCCTTAACTGGTTATGATGAAAATTACAATAAGAAAACAGAGGCATATTTAAGGACCTAGTATTAGAAATTAATTAAAAGTTCATATTTAAACTTTAAAATATACAAGATAAAAAGGATACATTAAAACTATTCAAAATTAATACCTTGAATGCATGTTAGATGTTTATCAGGATTAAGTAAGTATAGGTAATACACAAAATACTATAATTATTTTTTTTATAAAGGGTCGTTTTTTAGGTGTTTAAGAAATCTGCTGTCACTGCTGTCAGACTGTCCCCACCTATGGGTACGAACATAGTGGAGGCAGGTTTCTGCTTTCCGGCAACCAGCGCCGTTTCTGGGGACCTATTATTGACCACTCGCATCTTCAAATATCGCTCGCATCTCGCATCTCCTAAAAAGCCATATAACAATACACAGATGCGTAACTTTGCGTATATGCATCACGTGTATTGTATATGGCTATTTCGGAGATGCGAGAAGGATTCGGAAGTAGATAATTAAGAGGAAATTTACCTGATTAACTAACCTAACCTAACCAAACCATATTCAAACGCCAAGGAATTGCCTCGCCGGGGTCGCACATAGGTGTATTTGGTCTATAAACCTGGCCAAAAGTGATATTTTTTTATTTTCATTTTTTATCTTAACTGAATACAAATCTATAAATACTAAATGTAAGCACGTTTATTAGTTATTAGCTTTTTTAAGTCGTAAGTTGACTATCAAATAAATAATATATTTCAGTTAAAAGTATGAATTATCTTGAGTGTATTCTGAATATTTCTAAGATTATAAAAATAGTGGAATTGTTTGTAGTGCTTTTTTT